CTGCTGGGGACCATCTCCAGCAGACCAGGGACACCGGGAGCAAAGGAGGCGGAGGGGCGCTGGGGTATAAGATGAAACCCTATCTTTTAATTAAAAAAATAGGGGGTCGTCTTATACGCCCAGTCACCCTATACGCCGGAAAATAATTTCCTTCTTTGACAAAGTAACTGGCCTAGTGAATGGGGGGAACCAGTAGATGTGATATGTCTGGACTTTAGCAAGACTTTTGATATATTTCTGCATTATAGTTTCATAAGCAAACTAGGGAAAAATGCTGTCTAAATGAAATAACTATGTGATGGGTACATATAATTGGCTAAAAGACCATGTCCAGTTTTTATTCGCGAAGACTTTTTATGAAATGATTCACTATCAGACTGGGAGGGCATATCTAGGGAGGTCCTGCAAGGTCAGTCCAAGGTCCAGTACTATTCAATATTTCCATTTATGATTTAGATAATGCAGTGGAGAGCATGCTTATAAAAAAATTGTGAATGATACAAGCTGGGAGGGGTTGCTAACATTTTGGACAGGAGTATAATTCAAAATTGCCTTGACACATTGGAGAAGTAATTTGAAAATCAATAGGATGAAATTCAAGGAAGGCAATTGTAAAGTATCACACTTAAGGTGCATCTACATAGCACCCAAAACTCAAAATAAGATACGCAAATTTCAGCATTAATGGGAATGTTGTATAGGATACCCTCGTGATTTGCAGTTCAACGTATTCATGGATGTATCCCCACCTTGAAACATTGGGTGGAGCCAGGACCAGTGGGGAATCCCCTCCTGACCTCCTCTGGCTCCATGCAGCACTTCCGCTTTGAAATGTACAAGAACCCCAGGCAGGGCTCTTATGTGTTTCACTTACAATGCCGCATGGAGCCTGTGGTTAATGGGGGACTCCCTGCTGGCCCCGGACTCCACATGGCATTTCAATATTTGAAATGCACAAGAGTCCCCAGTGGGACTTTTGTACATTTCAAAGTCGGAACATGTGTTAGCTGGAGTACTGTGACTGATTTTGCCCCCACACTTTAAAAAAGACATGAACAAAATGGAGTGAGTTCAAAGGAGAACAACAAAAATAAGAAGATTAGAAAAACATGACAGAAAATAAAAAGTTGAAAGAATTGGGCATGTTTAGTCTAGAGAAGAGAAGACTGAGGGGGGACTTAAACTTTTAAATAGGTAAAATAGTGTTACAAAGAGGACAACAATCAATAATGTTACATGTTTGCTGAGGATAGGATAAGAAGTAATTGACTAAGTTTGGAACAAGGGAGATTGAGGTATTAAGAAAAACTTTGATTCTAATGATAGTTAAACTCTGGAACAGATTACATAGGGAGGTTGTAAAATCCCCATACCTGGAGGTTTTTTGGAACAGATCAGACAAACACCTGTCAGGAATGATCTAGGATGTACCTCTGTAGATAATGGAGGCGGATGAGATGACATCCTGAATTCCTTCCAGTCCTACATATGTTTTTCTCTGATTGTCTCCTTTGAAGCTCTGCTGACCAGTGGGTGCTCTTCCCTGGGACTGGTCTGACACAGTTCCTGAATTAACTGCATCTCTGACCAATGTTCTCTCTGATCTTTTCTATCCATGTGCGGAATAAAGTTTTTATGTGAACTGAGGCAATTGCAAATGTGTACTACCAGTAAAAACACAAACCTAGCTGTGGGCCCTCTACTAATCATCTGGGCAGCATTTGAATTTCTCCTGAGCAGCTGCACAAGCACACAGCTCACGGGGAATGCTGCCTCTGACCCACATTTCCTCAAGGGCATTACACTTAGGTCTCAGGGCTCCAGCGTCACCTTTCTCAGGGTGGAATCCCACAATTCTCACTCTCTCCAGTCCAGTTCCTTAGGTGCAGAGCCCTGCAATTTACTGTGATTGAGCAGTTATTGTTGAGAGTTCATGGAGGGTTAGGGAGGTCCCTGAGGCTTGGCAAAGGGCAAATACTCTCTTGAAAAAGGGATAAAAAGAAGACCTGTGGAATTATAGACCATTCAGCCTAACTTTGATACCCTGAAAGATATTGGAACAAATTAAACAATTAATTTATAAGCACCTAGAAAATAACAAGCTGTTAAGTAATAGCCAGCATGGATTTGTCAAGGACAGTTAAATCAAACTACTGTATATTCCAGCGTACAAGACGACCTCTGATGTTAAAAAACATCCCCCAAAAATCGGGGGTTGTCTTGTACGCCGGGTATACATCCCAGGCGCGCCTGGGATGCCCCTGCCACCGGAGCCCCTCCGCGGCTTTGTGGGGAGAAACCCACAATTCTCACTCTCTCCAGTCCAGTTCCTTAGGTGCAGAGCCCTGCAATTTACTGTGATTGACTCAGTAGCTCTGACTTTAGTTACATGCAATTCTCAGGGGTAATGACAGAATTATCTAGTCATCAGCCAGTTTTGTAAAGCAAAGTACCAATTATTCACAACAAGAATTGAGAAAAAAATATAAACAATAAACAGCTTATGTGCACATCTTGTTTACTACATGGTCACCTCTCTTCCATGTGAAGGCCTCGGCAAGACTAAAATATTTTGGGTCTTACTCTGTTTATAAGCCTCTCGTGCCTGTCAGTTAGGGTGTGTCTAGACTACATGCCTCCTTCGACGGAGGCATGTAGATTAGCCAGATCGGCAGGGGGGGAAAGAAACGACGCGATAAAAAAAAGAG